CCAGGGTCGTTGCCATCCAGTTTGTCCTTGACATGGACAATGACGACCTTGAGCCCTCGAGTGGTCTGGTGTCAAATGCAAGGGTAGGCAGTTCACCGTCCAGCGGCGCATCCAGATCCCGCAGCGACAGCTCCGCCGTGGGAGTCGCGAGATGGGGTGTCTCGATACCGGGTGGCGGCTCATCAAGCCGACTGCGTACCGTCTTGGGACTTACCGGATCGCCGCTACTACCACCTGTCCGCCGGCGCGAGAGTCCGGATACAGCCTCGCTGTTCCCCCGCTTCCGCTTCTTAGCAGTACGGGCATCGAGCTCAATAGAGGCACGCGCGACGTCAACTTCGCCGGCCAGAGTGCGCAGCTCATCTATAATGAAGCTCGGCTTAAGATGCCCAAACATGCGATCTGACGCTTGACCATCGTCATAGCTACACTCGATAAGCAGGGCACGCAGAGAGCGTCGAGCGATCTTTGGAGCGGCTTCCTGCCATATACCCAGATTTCGTGGACATGACGAAAGGGCGTCAGGTTCGACATCACCGAATATGAGAACCTCGGATCCTGTTGCAACATCGCGCAGGAAATACGCAGTTGAGTCATAGACGGAAGCAGTATGAGCAGGGTCGTTGTATGAGGACGGCGGGAGTTGCGAGTGTTGAGACTGTTGCTGGATGGGAAAGGAGGCGCGGGGGCCAGGTGTTGGGGGGAGTGTGGCTGTTGGGTGATGGAAGGATCGCGGTGAGAAGTGGTGGTGTAGTTGTTGCTGCTGGACGTGAACAGGCGCCGCTGCCATGGAGGAGGCGTCGAAGGACGAGTAGCGCACAGGCGTGCCGCTGGTTGAGGACTGCGAATTGCGGTGCGGTGGAGATTCGATGGGACGTCCGTGTGATATAGAGCAGGCTTTGACGGCAATACCCTCGGCGATTTCGAGATAGCCACGAGCATCGCCTTCTCCAACAGCCGGGCTGCCACCGTCAACGAGTCGAGTGTAGGTGACGAGGCCGGCGCCGTCATTCTCGTCGGAGAGGTTCGGCCAGATGACATTGTTGAAGATATGATTTTTGAAAGCCTCAATCGTCGCTGGTAGCCCAGCCAGGCGCTTTGGACGGGGACCGCCAGGCAGGCCAGCCGTGTTGACGACAAATCCAGCTATGTGATCAAGATGAGGATGCGTGATGAGGTAGGTGTCGACAAGGGACCGAGCGATGTGAGCTGCGTTCGCGGCAGGGGACGCGGTGTGTACCTCGATGCCCGCGAACGGGCCATTCTCGAGGATATGCGGCATCTTCAGTTGCGCCATGTTCTGCGGCTGTGTTTGCTGGAGAATATTGGAGATGGCGGCGAGGTGAACGCCTGCGTCGACGGCCACCATGGATGACCTTTGCCATCCCGTGGCAAGGGCGCGGACGAGAAAGGCCGTAGTGTTACTTTCCAAGGGGCCGCCACCGGAACCCTGCAGACGTCAGTACAGTGTTGAAGAGAAGAAAGAAGCAAAACAGAAGCCATGTGCAGCATGTCGCGTTGGCAAGACAGGGATGCAGCTATGATGAGAGCAGCAGTGGTCGAGTCGTCACTTGTCATCTGCTCGCTGGGAAGAGACTAAGGATGAGTATTGACCAGAGCGAATGCATGAGCTTGTTCAGCGCGAGGAAGATTGCACTTGCGATCGCAAACGCCGTGTCGCACAGCGCAGCGCATCCTGGCCAGGTCAAGTGGACCCGTGCCGAGCGGTCGACAATGAAGCCCTGCTTTGCGACACACGATGCGCTTATTTGGGGGAGCGCAGAAGGGGCGCAAAACAGGAAAACGGAAAGAGGGCATCTCGGCGGTTGCGCGCTTACCAGAATAATGACCTGCAATGCCGGCGCAGGTGCATGCGCAGGTGCTGAAGTGGTGGTCGCATCGTCCTGCTGCATTTCGGCAGCGGGAGGTTCAGCGTCCCCATTCTCGACACCTCCCATGACGTGATGTTGCGGGGTGCGATGCAGCAGGTGTGGGGTGGTTGCTGGTGCTCGTGCTGGCGCTGGCCGAGCTTCCGTCGGTAGTTGGGTAGGCGATCGATTGATTCGGAAGGTGAGACGATGGGCTTGGTGGGTTGGAGCGACGACAGTTGCTGGTTCGGTGTGCCGGTGCGCAGTTTGCGGCAAGCGACGAGACGAAATGTGCTGTGGAGGAATTGAATTTGGTTGTCGCACGTCGCAAGTCAAAAGTCGCAACTCTCAACTCATCAACCAGGGCGCGTGGCGGTCAGTGCCAATGACAATAGTCAGTGACGGAAAGCCGGTTGTTCGAGTCAGGGGTAGGTAGGTGTGTCGCTGGAACGCAGGACGAGGAAGACGAGTGTTTGGCGGGCGTCTGTGGTCGGCGCACGTCTTTGATCGGCGCGCATGTGATGTGTCGACTCTTGGGGCTGGTCCCGCATGCGAATGATGTGCAGATGGGAGGAATGGCAGAGGGGTGGAGTGAGGGAGGGAGAGGGAGGAATGAGAGTTGTGAACAGAGGGTTCAGCAGATGGCAAATGAAATGATGAGAGGCAGGTGTTCTTCTTCAGCCCTGCCGCCCGGTTGTGGTCCGGGTTCAGCTAGACCGGTGTTGCTTGCCGTGCTAACTCGGAGCGGCTGCTCTGCTGCTTCTGTTGCTGGAGGGAGGGACTTTGAGGTACCTGAGGTAAGGTAGGAGGTAGGTCGCTATTGCCTTTGCCAATGCGTTGGAGCTGCTCGCCCGGCGGTCTGGTTCGAGTGGTCGCGCTTGCCGGGATCTGAAAGGTTGGCGGCGGTGCTTGCCTCGCCGTTCGCTAGTTTCGGGATCTTCCTGCTACCTGGAACTGCACCTTCCCTGTTCACCAACCACGATGGACAGCAGGTGGCAGACAGGTGTGAGTGCCCTGGATGCCACAGCGCACGCCACGCCACGTGAGGTTGTGAGAGCAGCGCGTGAGAGTGAGTTGAGGGAGAGAGCTCTGGATGTCTGGGACTGCCGCCTTTTTGCCTCTCTTTTTCCTAGCCGTCTTTCGTCACTCTTGACTCTGGCCTCTCACGAAACGCCCGACAAAGGTCTTGTCTGCACACTTCTCTGATGTCTGCCGCCACGATGCGCTCTGGTGGGACAAAGCTAACGAGACTCCCGACGGCTGCTCGACGTTCTTGGTTCTACCTTACTAGCCAGACAACCTTTTCTGATCCGATTGTATCTTGGATCCGAAAAATGCTAAGAGGAATAGACTCAGGCCACTGACTATCCTTTC